AATTTAGTATACTCTTAATGGAAGTCTAAAATATAGTTATATTTTTAAATCACATAATATGGTGGTTTTTTAGTAAATCTTAATAGATTTACTCTACGTTATCTCCTTAACCATGATAAATGGAGAGATTTTAAGCATTCAGCGCATGCTATATATATATATATATATTGGCAATAATTCCATGTCTAAATTTACTCTACAAACAAAAAAAATTAACATTTTATTATGCAATATTTATATTTTAAATAGTAATTTTTTTATTACCCAATTTAAAATTAAAGTGAATAGAAAGAAAATAAGAGTAGAAGAAAGATAATAGAGAGGTGAGTGAGGATTAATGAAGCTAACTATTTTGCAATCGAAAAATATGTTAGTTAAGTCGTATGACATTGAAGACTATGAAGAAAAGATGATATGTCACCACACCCCATTTTCACAAACTTAAGTAATTTAATTAATAACTTTTAAAATAATGAGAGTATTTAAAAACAATCATCCATTAACTCAAAAAATAAAAATTTAACATCAACTAATTAATATAATATCTCAAAGTACAAATCCATAAACTAGGTTTACACCCAAACCTCACTAACAATATATTTCTATCATCTAACAGAAAAGAAAAATATTCATAACCATACTATGTCATCCAAAGAATCCTTTTTAAAAATTTAAACTTTCTTCATCCCTCTTTTATCCCCTCACAAAAGCAACTCACACATTGTCATTTTGAGGAGGAGCCCCTCCGCTTTGAGTGCTATGGGTGTCTTCTCCTTTCGTTCCACGATCTATAGCAAATGAATTGATCTATCTTTCTTGCTTCTAGCCTATTCGACTGTGGCAGGAAGTATAAAAAGTCCTTCCCTGCTATAGTTCGAGATGGGCATGTTCTCTCTCTCAAGGATATCAGTGTACTCATTTCAAGCGTTAGTTAGATCTCTAGACCGCATGGAAAATCCTGGCCTGATCATAGCCCTACGAACGAGCTAGTTTATGGTGGCTATATCTCTCTAAGAAGGCAAGACCCCCCTTAATTGAAGAAATCAGGTTTCAATAGTTAATAAAATGTTCAAATGCTCTGCCATATTGGTATGAGTGTTAAATCGATCAATACTTCCATGAGCATGACCATAAATCCTTGGATTTCTTCATCCTGACATGTGATGCAATACGGATGAAAGACGAATTGACTTTGTCTTTAGCCTATATTGCTCCTAGCTTTTCTTTATCTTTTCTTCCTTTCTAGCCCAACTCTAAAGTTCTCCGCTGTCACATAGGCTTGAGACATGCCTCCTATCATGCTTTCCTACCAATCCCTTACTTAAGAATTTAAAGATGACTTCTCTCTGAAACTAATAAATCAATCTCTATGCTTCAAAATTTGGATCCACATTCTAATCAATTTTATTTTTAACATCCCAATCCACGTGCTCACAAAGTCTAGTGTCAATCTCAACACCAAAATCTAAAGAATTTTTTTTGTTGAATATAGGGGTGAGTACAACTAGGTATGTAGAGGAACTTTCTTAAACCTAACAGAGGTTTACAAATCTATGCAAAGAGGTAGGTCTCAAATTTATGAAATAATATATAACTTTTAAAGTAAATCATGTAACATTAATAACGATATGAAATTTTGATACAAATACATAAAATTCATCATATAATACATTATTTAGAAAACAACAACTTATAGCAGGGATATCTCATGTACGCAGGTTGATTGGTGATAATTCACATACCAAATATATTTGGTTCACCCCTTCAAACACAAATCATTCAATTAATTTGTGCAAGGTTATATTATTTTAGGAAGCGTGTATACCAATATATCAATATTTAATGAAATTTTTTATGAATAGTATACTAATCCTCAATCCCAAACCAACGTGAAAGAATAGTGCTTTGTAACCTCTCAAGAAACTAAAGCTACTACAAATAATAAAAAACCTTCAAACCTCTCGATATAAAAAAAAATATAAACACTCTACAATATAAGTTTAAGTGTATTTAAGTTTATCAAGTCTACCAATACAAGAGATTTAAGTAATAATTTTCAAAATAGATCACATGTTCCACAAATGTGGGTTTTCACAATTCGTAAAATAAAAAAAAATTCAACAAATCATGCATGAGATCGTAGGAAAATGTTCTATCATTATTCAAGATTTAGGGTTGGTGAACTCAAAGCGTACATGGAATTGAAAACATAAAATTTTCAATACCATCATGCTTTTTCAATAAAAAAACTAAAAACCAATGTAGATCTATATGACAAATACAAATAGGAATCAAAAGTACATATATAATAGTCTTGGCTTCAATGAATAGGAAGGGAAAAAAAAACCTGTCTTGGTTCCACGAAAGTTGCTCCTAAGATGCCCTACAATGTTTACCACACATGGATCTTAACGATCATTATCCTGATCTACTCTCTTCCCTCCTCTTCCTTTTCTCCAAGTCTTTCTTAGTCTCTTATACTCCGTTTGGTAAGAAGGATGAAAAATATGAGAGATATATTTTCTATCTTTCAAGGAAGGAAAATAGGAATGATACACTTTCATTCATTTGTGTTTGTTGGATGGATAAAAAATAAAAATGATTAAATTTTTTTTTTTATGCTGGCTAAGAATAGAGGTGACAATCGAGTCGTATCGTGTCAAATTCGTGTTGAGTCATTACGGATTTGTGTCGAACATTAGTCACATCAAATTCAACTCATTTAATTAATTGTGTCTTGTCGAGTTACGAGTTGACCTGTTTATTTTCGTGTCGTGTTCGTGTTCAAATTAATCAAGTTCGTGTCATAAAATTCGTGTTGAGTTCGAGTCGTATTATCGTATTGAGTCAAAAATTTTCACCCCTTAATTAAAATGGAAAAAATATTTTTTTAATTTAAAATTTTATTTTATTTAAAATTTTTTATTATTTATTTTTATTTATTTTTAAATTTTTTAAAATATGTATATATATAAATACATATTTTATCATTGTATTTTTATACGAAATTAATTTATACATAATATATGTATATATAAAAAGATATACAGACAAATAAGATACATCTCAACACAAATAATTAACTTTCATCCATTTTTCTTCCAATTTTGGAGGGATTGATTTTGGTGAGTTGGAAGAAAAATTAATTCATTCACTTTTTTATTCTTCTTATTTTCCTTCCTTACCAAACATGATGTTTTTTTTATCCCTCCAACTTTTTATTTTTCTATTTTTTCATCGTACCAAATGGAGCATTAGGCTTTTTAGAGCATCTCCAACAATAGAAATTAGTTTAGTTACTCAAAAAATAACATTTTTTATTTTAGCTACTCACTTTTTCAATACACCCTCCAACAAATTTTCTATATTTTTAACTATTTTTTTAAAATATTATTTTTCATTCAATTTGTGTTATTTTTCTTTGAGAATAGTGAAAGGAATAAAGAGAGAGAATAGAAGAAAAGAAAAGAGGACAGACAAAATATTATAAATAATGTATACATATTGCTACAGTGATATTCTAAATATAGAGTATCACTATAGCAAAATGCTATTTTACATGAAATTTTAGGATAAAATAGCTAAATTTTAAAATTTTTGTGTATTTTACCTATTCTGAAGATGCTCTTAAGGTTGAAGTTGTGTAAAGAAACCCTAAAAACAGCTCCATAGGGTTTATACAAGGTCAAAAATCACCCTAAATTTTTTTAATAAAAATAAATAGTAACAAATACTAAGCAATACTTAAAAACAAAAAATAATGACATAAAACACATAGGACCCATTTGTTTTGAATATTAGAGTGACATAAGGAAGTGATATTAGGAAAATAGTACGTGAGACCCACCTTATACGTTGTTTGTTTGACATTTTATAGTCAGTACTATTTTGTAGGTCGTAATACCGACCCGCTATGAACAGTAGTTATAATGTCTTGTAGAAGGTCTTAATGAATACCACCTAGGGGGTGGTATCATATTCTTGCTATAAGTATTATAAACTAAAAAAACAGAAATGCCCTCCGGTACAATTCACATATAAAAGCCTAATCGCAATTTTTGACTTTTTAAAGGTTAAAATTGTCTTTTACATTGGTTAATTGCAATTGTTGACTTTTTTAAGTAGGTATTCTATAGATAATATTTGTGATAAACAAATAAGGAGAATGATGAGATTATAGTTTAACATCAGATATAATATACTATTAGATTGGAGTGAAATGAATATAAAACCTTATATCACATAAATTTTATACTCGAAACAAACATGCCCATAGAAAAAAAATTGTCTATATTTAGGAGAAGACTACACTACCCAAAAATATTTTTTAGTACCGTATCATCATGTACAAGTTTTGTAAATTTTTTAAAATTTTTAAAATTTATTTAAACCTTTTGTTAGAATTGATCTTAAAATTTGGAATTCATCTCAAGTACCTCAAAACGTTTTAAATTATCTTAAATAAATTATAATTTAAATCTTGTTGTAAATAAACCCTAGAACTTATATCTCAACTTATAAAATTTATAAAATTTGACGGTGTAGTATTGAATTTCTTTTTGAAGTGGTAGTCTCTCTAATATTTAGAATGCAAATTTATTTCAAAAAGAAAAAATAGCAAATTAATTAATAGAAAAAATAATACAGGAGGAGGAAAGGAAACGCAGTTGGCGATAATTCAATCTGAAGGGTAAGGTTAAAATCTGGAGGGTCGCTTAGAACTACTAAACGAGTGTATGACTTAATAATAAATACAAAATGATAGAGGGCATTCTCGCAATAAGCAAACTAATTAAGCTCCTCAGTACCCTATAGCAGCCTAGATTTACATACACTAGGCATAGATAGGTATATCTATAAACCCAGGTAAAAAAACAGATTGGTCGTCGTTGTCAACCCCATGAAGGATTTTTTTCTCTCTCTCTCTCCCCTGCCATGGACAGTGACTAATGATGGGGTTGAAGGCTCAGAAACTCTGAATCTATCAGAAGGGGAGGAGGGCCTAATAAAGAGCGAGATGTAGTGGTATACCAGTACTAATCAGCAGTGAGGACACTTGTAATTGATGAAAAAGCGAGTGTGACGTTCCCAAGAAAAAGCGAGTGTGTATAGCCTTTAGATATAGAGAGAGAAAACTAGAGAGCTGTATAGCCTGCATTGTTGCAGGTTTCGTTGCAGAGCTTGAAAGACTGTGTTTTAACTTTATCTTCTGAAATACTAGTATTTCTCTCTCTCTAAAATCTATAATGACCAAGAAGATAGGATAGATACACTCTCTCCCATACTGGGTGGTAAGGAGTCACTCAATGCTCACTGGTATTTAGCGGGTTTCTGCCAGAATGATGTGATTGAACAAGCAGGCTCTTGGGTACATCGTAAAAATATCCCATTTTTGTATGAACTTTCTTGTAAATATTCTCTCTTGTTCTTCCACTCCGTTGTCTGAGAATTTTCGCAATTCGATTGCGTCGTCGTTCGATGTCGGTGACCCACCTGGCTTTCGTGTTCTGCTTGTTCCTCGGAGTACGGTGACGGGTTGTTTCAAAGCATTTCCAGAATCAAATCTCTTCTAACTTGCCTGCATTTTTATGTAGTAGTGACCCGATTGTTCTTCCAAATCAGTAATGGCGTTTTGGTTTGACCTCCATCGAAGTCATTCTCTGCAAGTTCTGGTTTTTCTGGTGTTTCTCGTCTGTTTGAGCTTTGGTATCGTGGATTCAGAAGACGGTGAGTTTACGTGTCAAACCTTTTTGAGTTCACCCTTCTTTCTTTAATCCCGTTTTAATATTTTAATCAGTGTTTTTTAAACGTTCAAAAAAATATTGCTAAACTGTTTTGAGTTTCAACCTTATTCAATCACACTTACTATTTTAATCAGTGTTTTTTAAATGTTCAAGAAGATCAATACTGATTACCGATGCTTCTAAATTCCTTCTCTTTTAAAAAAAGTAGACTTTGGTAATAACGTCATTGCCGTTCAGTGTTAAACTCTGTTTTGTATCTATATTATTTAAAAAAGTTCATTGATTTTAAGCTTTTCTGTCGAGTTCTTCATGAGCTCATATACCATTCAAAGTTGTACTGGCAGCTCTTGATAGTAAGCCTTCCACCGGTTTGAGAGTTCATCATAACTCCCACTCTTCTCTGTCTGGGTGTGAGTTTTACATAAATGTATAATTATGTGTGTACATATATGGAGGAAATACTATATTCTGATTTTTCTTGTTGGGTTAAATCTTCGCTCTCTCTCTCTCTATCTCTCTCTCTCTCTCTCTCTCTCTCTCTCTGGGTGTGAGTTTTATGCAAAGGTTTAATTTTGTTAGTATATGTATTTGGAGTAAGTACTGTGTTTTGAATTTTATTGTTGGTTTAAAAAAGGGGCAACACTGTTGGAGATCAAGAAGTCATTCAGGGATGTGGACAATGTGTTGTATGACTGGACAGATTCACCATCTTCAGACTATTGTGTGTGGCGAGGGGTAATGTGTGACAATGTCACCTTCAATGTTATTGCACTGTGAGTCTTTCTCTGCAACTATTCCTCCGTTACCATACTTTTTCTATCTCTGTATATGCCTTATTAAATAAAGTACTTTTAACTGTGTCATAGTCTAATGTCTACTATTTTTGCTAATTTAGTTGTTTCTTGTCTTTTGGAATGCATTTTCCTTGATGGTCAAAGCTTGACTATTATTTACCCAAACAAAAATTCTTAACTTTTTATGGGTTGTTGGAAAACCTGCAGTAATCTCTCTGGATTGAATCTTGATGGGGAAATTTCACCTTCAATGGGTGACCTGAAAAGCCTACTCTCCGTGTACGGTGCTAGACTATCAACCTTTTGTACCATTGTTTGTGGGTCTTTTTCATTTGGGACTTCTTGTGCTTGGTTAATTCGTCATTTTTCTGCATGGATTGTTACACATCTGAAATGCAAGACTGTTTTGTTTTTGCTTTTTGATTGAACAGTGATTTAAGGGGAAATTGCCTTTCTGGACAGATCCCAGATGAGATTGGGGATTGCTCGGCTTTGAAAAGCTTGTAAGTTGTTTAATTCGGTCAAATGACAGGGTATGTCACTACTACACATTTCCATCAAACTGATCAAAGTACCAAGGTTTTAAGGCAGAGCAATGTCAAGGAAAATAGCTAAAAATAAATCTAAGCTACTTTGTTTATTGGGATTGAGTTAATTACAGCTACTGATCATGGTAGTAAAATAAAATAACAACTGATAAAATTTTGACATGTTGCTTGATGATTAGATAAGAAAAAGAAGATATGCTACATAGTCTTCAACTCAAGTTTTAATTGTGTTATTATCTAGTGATAAAATAATATCGTTTAGGTTGTCTCTTAACTCTAATTGTGTTGTTGTCAGGGACTTGTCATTCAACGCGTTGAATGGAGACATACCATTTTCAATTTCAAAGTTGAAGCAACTAGAATACCTGTAAGTTCACCCACCAAGAACATCCCATTGTCGTTCTCTTTTCAGACTTTATATCATTTGGTCTTCTAGTCCTTCATTCGACTAGTATTGGCTCCTCTGATGATTACATTTCAACGGGTGTTCAGGATATTGAAAAATAATCAGTTGATTGGTCTCATTCCTTCAACCTTGTCTCAGATTCCAAACTTGAAGATTTTGTAAGTGTCATTGCTCTATTCTTTTTTATTGTTGTTTTGAGTCTAATTTTAGAATCATTGATTGCACAGTACGGATATAGTAATAATATATTTTTTGGAATCATGATTTAATTAGGAACTTTCTGTCTTAGACTGGAATAACAATTATTACCATTCCAGTTCACATTTACTTTTCTTATCAATTTTAGGTCTCCCCTATTATATCTAGGATAAGAGGCCATAATATTCCCAGAGTTTCTATGTGTTGTCCTTTCTAGGCTTTTACTGTATCTCTGAGGTTTTTTTTTCTTATCATTATGTAATGAATTCAGTTTGGTATTTTGGTACGATGGCAAATGATGGTATCAACATGGTAGGCACTACTGGCATCTCTTTGTGCTCAAAGGCAATGTAGCAACGAGTGACTAAAATGCCTCAAACAAACTACATACTGTTAGAATTGATCAACAACGATAAAGAGAGTAGAGAAGAGAAAGAGAAAATATAATTAGACTAAAAGTTGGTATGTAATATACTCAAAGTAAGTCTTATATAGTAGGTAACACAACATAAAAAAAATGCCTAAACTACCCTTAATATTAATACTCTCAAATTCAAGATGTGGTGAAAAACATCAAGAGTTTGTCAAGAAGAAATTGAAAACATGCTATGGTGTGAGACTTCGTAAAGAAATCCACTATTTGCATGGTGGAAGGAAGAAAGAGGAGAGTGATGGTGCCCTGTTGAAGATGATGGCGTATAAAGCGATAAGTAATATTGATGTGCTTTGTGCGCTCATGGAAGACCAAGTTGTGAGCAATCTGAATAGCACTGGTATTGTTGCAGAATATAGGTAGGGGTGATAATCAAGCCTAGCTCGACAAGCATCACCATGCTCAAGCTCGGCTTGAGCTCGAATATCAAGCTTTATTTTTGGCTCGAGCTCAGCTTGAATGAAAAATGAAAAGCTCCAGCTTGGCTTGATTAAGCTCGTTTTCTGTTAGCAAGCTCGAATCTGAGCTCAAACTCGTATGAAGCTTGATCCAAAAATTCGAATTCAAGCTCGAGCTCGGCTCGTTTATAAACAAGCCTAAAATTATGTTCATATTTGGCTTGTTTATAATATTCGAACGAGTTTGAACGAGCCCAAAACGAGCCGAACTCAAGTCAAACTCGAGTAGCTCAGTTCGATTAATATCCTTAAATATAGGAGTAAGAGAAGATATCGAAATGCCAAGATTAGTAAGGAACCATCATAATCAGACTATCTCAACTGTAGAAGATGTCATAGCACGATACTCAGTTTCAACAGAAGAATGAACAATAGTTTGTTTCTTACTTTTTTGAGAAATAAGAGAATCTTTAAGAAAAAGACAGAAATTAGTGATGGACTTGCGATCCATAAAGTCACCAACTCAGTTAGTATCAGAGTATGCCTTGAGTTCTATAGATGAAGGGTGAGAAAAAGGTAAAATTTGATGTAGAGTACCATAGAGATACCAAAGAATATGAAGAATAGAAGCTCAATGAACGGAGATGGGTGAGGCAACAAATTGACTCACAATATGAACAACATAAGAGATATCCGGACGAGTGATTGTAAGATATACTGAACTTTCAACAATAGTGCAATAGAGTTGGGTTGGACAAGGGAGTACCATTAGACGAGGAGTAGCGAACATTGAGCTCCAAAGGTGTTTTATTTGTTTGATTATCTAATAAGCGAGTTTGTTGAATAATGTCAAAGGCATACTTGAATTGAGAGAGAAGATAGTCTTTAGGAGAGGAGGTAATTTCAATGCTCAAGAAATACCTAAGCTATCTCAAATCCTTCATCTCAAAATGATCTTGCCTCTGAGTTTTCAACAAGCGTATACTAGTAGTGTCGTCACCCGTAATAATTATATCATTAACATATAGCAAAAGAATAATAGAACTTGAGGAAGTAGACTATAAAAAGATAGTAGAATCATGATCATTGACACGAAAACTCAAGTCACACATAATAAAAGAAAATTTGGCAGACCATATCCTAGGGGTTTATTTAATGCCATATAAAGTACAGTGAACTTGACATACTTGACCAAGACTATAAGACAGTCTAGGAGGAGGTGTCATTAAAAACTCTTCACTTAAATCTCCATGAAAAAATGCATTTTTCATGTCCATTTGAGAAAAATTCCATTGGCGAATGGCAGCAACTGCAACCACGGTACGAATAGTAGTCATCTTTGCAACAGGGCAGAGATCTCATCATAGTTCAAACCATACTCCTGAGCAAAATCCTTGACTACTTATCGAGCTTTATATTGTTTCACAGAACCATTATATTTGGTTTTTCTCTAATAAACTTACTTGCAACCAATGGTGCATTTACCAGGTGATATAGACACAACACTAGCTCCCAATCTATGGTCTTATGTAAGGCAGACAATTCCTTATCAATAGTCTGTCTCTAAAGTGGATCAAGTAAAGCCTTCCAGTAGGAGGTAGATTTAGATAGAGAATGAATAGAAGGAAAAACAAAAGTCATGAGAATAACAATTATTACTCCAGCCAAACTTGTCTAAATATTTGCAAGAGCGCTGAGGATAATGCAAGGTATGATCCACAATGTTTAAACCTGATCGAGTGTGGCAGGGGGAGAAAGGGGAGGCATTGAATCCGTAGAAGAGATAGTTGGAGTCTTGCAAATATATGTATGCACAATAAGGGGATAAGGGATAGTCAACTCAAAAGTTGAAGTATCTGATACTGGTAAATCACTAACAAATGTGTCATGAGGAACATCAGTAGGAAAGGGATCAATGTATAGCAGGTTAGATTTATTCAGTGGAGAAGAACTAGATGGAATTGAAAAGAAGGGAATATGCTCCATAAAGACAACATGATGAGAGAGAATTTGTGGGTAATGGAATTACAATAATGATACTCTTTTTGACCCTTACCCTAACCAAAAAAGAAACATAAAGCTGAACAAGCAAAAAGTTTGGTACGAAAAATATTAGGGAGCAAAACAAAGCACGTACAACCAAACAAACGTAAAAAAAAAAATTTAGGCGGCTTACCACACAATTTTTCAAACGGGGAAACTCCTGATGTGAGAATAACAGGAATGTTGTTGATCAAATGAATTGTTGTAAGACCTGTTTCCTCCCAAAAATGAGTTAGGAACATATGCTAATAATAGAAGAGAACGTGTTGTCTGTTCCCTCGGCCTATGTTTTCTCTGAAAGTGCGGTATGTTAGATTAGTGCTCAACTCAGTGGGTTCAATAAGTGCTAGTTGATTGCAAATTCCAATCATAACTGAGTAGAATTCTTCTTTGTTTTTGTCCCCTTGACGTGCATCTTGAATCTCATACTCTAGTTGATACTTCTTTGCAAAATTAGATTGGACAACCCAAACACCACAACCAAAGCCACCAAATAATAAGAAGTCAAACACCACTTTTGAAGCCACTATAATAACACCATTGCTAAAGCACCCCAACAAAGTAGCCAAAGATCAAAGCAATCCACACAATGCACAAAGAAATTCCAAATACGAAGAAGACAACCCACAATAGTAGACGCCTACATTGGAAACCAATGGCGTCAAAAACCAGTGGCGATGGGGATATTGAAACCCTCGAATGGCCAAAATCAAGCCAAAAAATTCAGTCATGTAGGTATTTATAGTTTTGCGTATTATTCTAGGGATGAGTAGGTTGGATATTAATTGATGAGACGACAAGGGGAGTTCAAGCTACCATAGTAAATTCAAGTTAAAATTTTGTCATAATGGTTTTCACGGCACTAAAGAGTACAATGTGGATGCAACTTCGTGTCAAATCACAGCAGGTGCGGATATTCGGAAGAAGTATCAATGACTTTTTGACTTTGAACCCTTAAGATTTGTGCCACAAAGATTTATTTCAAGTACTTCCATGGGCAGAGAGAAGCATGAATAATAGGCCAATGGAAGTGAATCGAAGCTGACAAGAAAGCATAGCGGGTAGTTGAGACCTCACGAAGATAGCAATTATTTCAAGTCCTTGTTTAGCTGCTATATCCTTCTAAGTCACATTTGTAGTAGAAAAAGTGGGCATGCAACAAAGCCCAACAATAGAGTGAATCCAAAATTGCAAATGATGCAACAATTAGTGCAACAGATTATCTCAAGAAAGTAGAGCCACGGTATTAGGGAAGAGGAGTCCAATATATGTTAAACCAAGGGGCACTCTGGGGTCCTACCATTGAAAGGTACTGGCTTCAGCATATGGTGGAAGAGGTTATTGAGGGATGGGCAGCTGTATGTGCAAGTAAAGCTTTCATTGAGGGGATGGAATCAACTCAATAGAATTAGGTATTTTATATGACTTCTAAAGTGACCAAACGAAGTTAAAGATTGATTCAATACCGAATCCCAGATCCCTATAGACAACTAATGCTAGGAAGAATTTACCACCACATCCAAGTAATTTATATAAATTAGTGCTGGATGCGATTGATGTTTAATATAAAGTGGATGTGGATTGATGTTTAATATGAAGTGGATGTGGATAAATACCTGTATCCCAGTTTATTTAATAGGAACCCAAAGGGCGAGTTTTTCAAAAGGGGATGATATAGAACAGATTCAAAAGTTGGTTTGTTTTTATTTTTTTGGAATTTGAATTTAATTTGGAGCTATCAATTAGTATTCCTATTTCATGTCATTTTCTGTTTTCCTATTGTTTATGTCTCTTTTATTTTAAATTAGGCTTTTAGCCACAAGGCAAAGTTATCATTCTAGTCAATAATGTCACCATAGTTTTTCTCATTTATTATTCTTAGTGGATTCTAGGGTTTTGACTATTCAAAATACTTCTATCCAGGGACCTGGCACAGAATAAGCTGAGCGGGGAAATTCCAAGGCTCATATATTGGAACGAAGTTTTGCAATATCTGTAAGTGTATTAGTAGTTGATGTATCGAACTGCCTTGTCCTGGTGGCTTGGTGATTCATGAATTATGAACCCATTTTGTTTATCTACTCAACTTAGGGGATTGCGAGGGAACAACTTAGTTGGTACACTCTCTCCTGATATGTGTCAGCTAACAGGGTTGTGGTATTTGTAAGTTCTTGATCACTAGTTTAATTTTAATTCTCCTTTTCTATTTTCTGTTATAACAGGCCAATTGCTGATACCTACTAGTTTTCCTCTTTTTACAGTGATGTTAGAAACAATAGTTTGACTGGTACCATTCCTGAGAACATAGGCAATTGCACTGCCTTCCAGGTCTTGTATGTACCTCCACTAACATATTGTGGCCAACTTCTGGATGATACTTTTTGTGGTTAATTAGAATATCCTTATATATTTTGCTGATAGGGATTTGTCTTACAATAAACTGACTGGAGAGATTCCATTCAATATTGGGTTCTTGCAAGTAGCTACGTTGTAAGTATAAGCAATTCACTTGGGTATCTTGAGTTTGTGTTTGTCTTTAAATGGGAATGAATTTCTGGTGCATGCTAGATCTTTGCAAGGAAATCAGCTTTCAGGGCAGATCCCATCAGTCATTGGCTTGATGCAGGCACTCGCAGTGTTGTAAGTGCTTTACTATTCTTGTCATCTCAACTTAATGTCGCAACAGCATGGAATTCCTTTGACTTCTTTCGTTTAGATTTTCTTCTTACCCTACATGTGTCGCTATTTCTGTTGTCTTCAGAGATTTAAGCTGCAATACGTTGAGTGGACTGATCCCTCCCATCCTTGGAAATTTGACTTACACAGAGAAATTGTAAGCACAGCATCTGTGTTTTTGTCAATTTGTTGTATTTTACTCATAGGTTTTGTGTCTTCAAAAGTTATAAAGAACAGATAGCAGTAGGCTTTCTATTTAATGAATGTCCTTTGCCATCTCGCGTCCTGCAATTTTCATGTTTGTTATTAGTAGTTAAATATATAAGTCAAGGTATTGTCAAGTTAATTGAGCACTTAGTGTACAACTCTATTTATTTAAGACATCCACCTGTATGTCAAGTTTAATATTTTGACAGGATTTCTTTATGACAGGTATCTGCATGGAAACAAGCTGACTGGATCCATTCCCCCAGAGCTTGGGAATATGACAAAGCTCCACTATCTGTATGACACATTTTGTTGGCTATTTTCAAACCTCTTGTTATTTGGTGCTCTTGATTTTTCTTGTTAAAGATTTTCCAAACTGAAGCGGATGCATTTGGATGGTTTTCAAGTCAGGAGATACCTCATATTGAAGTTATTAGTTGATTATGTGATATACACATGATATACATATAGTCATCAGAACTGCCTGCTATTGCACACTTTTTTCAGGCATTATATATCATAACCCAATAATATATTCAACCCCCCCCCCCCTTCTTCTACTAAAAAGAATCTGTACTTTTGCACTGTTGAACTGGTTCATTAGGAGCACATCGCATGTCAGCAGCGTTGTAATAACTAAGAGTGCTACTTGATGTTTGCTAGTCATGCATATTCAGAAATATTCGCTATTCAATTGTTTCATTTTTGCCTTTGCAGGGAACTGAACGACAATCGACTCACTGGGCATATCCCTCCCGAACTTGGGAGGCTTACGGACTTGTTTGACCTGTATGTCCTGTTTCCCTAAAAGTGTTAATTGAGCTGGGGTCTGCTTTTCTTTATAAAGTTACTTACACTAAACGCTTGCAGAAATGTTGCTAACAACAACCTTGATGGGCATATACCTGATAATCTTAGCTCATGCACAAATCTCAACAGCCTGTAAGCATTCCACATCAATCTCCTGTTATGTTCCTTTTTACCTTTATTTTTAAAAATATTGTGTCTGTTGAGGATGGTCATTGACCCATAATTTGATGGCAGCAATGTGCACGGGAACAAATTGAATGGGACCATCCCTCCTGCATTTCAGAGACTGGAAAGTATGACTTATTTGTGAGTTCCACTCTTCAACTAAAGACTTATTTTGAAGATTTTCATGCAGTTTTGGTAGTACTAAATAATTTTTTTTTTAACCGACCTGCCAAATGGTTCAAATGGCACTGCATGTTTTTCTATTGGTTATGAGGATGGAAGATGCACCATTCATGTTGCCTAGATTCGTATTTGCTTCTGCCATTTGTCTTACAATTCTTCATTGGCTCATTGCAATGTCATCCAATCCGTCTATGATATTTGTTTACATTTTATCAGTCACAATTCTCGAGTGATTTGAGTGCTTGATGGCTTTGCTTATGCTTTTCCTCATCATCTCTAGGAATCTATCCTCTAACAATCTTATGGGTTCCATTCCAATTGAGCTGTCCCGTATTGGTAATTTGGATACTTTGTAAGTAGTAAATTGCTTTTTGTTGACTGTAATACTTCTACTACTTTTTAGTTCTTGAAATATGACTTGTATTTTTGGCCTGTTTTGGTGAATCAGAGACCTCTCAAGTAATAGGATTAGTGGTTCCATACCTTCTTCCCTTGGTGACTTGGAACACCTGCTAAAACTGTGAGTTTCACCATTTGGTGATTCCTGTTCAATAGAGTTTTCATCATATAGCTCACTTCCTTTCTTTTATGTGGTAGGAATTTAAGCAAGAATGAGTTGACTGGTTTTATACCAGCCGAGTTTGGTAATCTAAGAAGTGTCATGGAAATGTGAGGAAGTATTTAAATGCACGATTCTGTTTACTATTACGAGTTTTATTTTTCAGCTTCCAAGCTTGTGAATAATGCTTTTTCATTTCAGAGATCTGTCAAATAACAACATTTCTGGTCCAATACCACAAGAGCTTGGTCAGCTTCAAAATGTTTTATTGTTGTAAGTCTATTTAAGCTTAACATTAAGAATAATTCCTTTATTGTTTATTCTTTCTATTATAATCTCTTGATCAAAATAATAATTGCAGGAAAGTGGAGAACAACAATTTATCAGGAGATGTAATGTCTCTGGTCAATTGCCTCAGTCTTACGGTCCTGTAAGTTTGCAATGTAGTTAACATATTAACATGTAATAAAGTAAGACAACTAGAATTGATTGTGAAATCAAATTGTTTTTTGCAGAAATGTATCTTATAATAACCTGGTTGGGGATATTCCTACGGGCAAAAACTTCTCGAGGTTTTCACCAGATAGGTTAGATGATTCCCAAATAATTTGCCACTTGAGGATTTTCTCTTGTAATATCACAACCAAGCTGCACTCAACAATATCATCTGACTGAGTATTCCTATCTGGGCCTATTCCAACTAAACCTTTTTGTTCACAGCTTCATTGGAAATCCAGGTCTGTGTGGCTACTGGCTCAGTTCTCCATGCCATGCATCTCATCCAACTGAGCGAGGTACGAATTCCGAGCATGGTAGTTCTTTACTTCTTTTTTCATTGTTAGGTAGAAAACAAGCAGGCACAATTTTTCATGACTTTGTTTTTTAACAGAAGATGATGAGAGTGGAAGAGCTTATGTCTTAGAACTAGGGCTGGATATGACTTGCTATCTTGTCAGTCATCTATTGATTCTATAGACGTGTCTCAAAACCCATACTACTTGATCTAGTATAATGATATTATCTTTCGCCTCTCAAATTTCAATCATACAAATAAGCTATAGACTAGAAATCCTTTCGATTGTGAAGCTAATAAAAAGTCTCTGTAGGTTGAGTATGCACTCTTTTCTTTGCAGAATCTAACCATTGGCAATTTCCGGTGCATTTTGGCAGGAAATTTTTATTATTCTGCTCTAATGTAGCAAGAGAAAAAACTTAAATATGTAATGAATGACAGACATGAAGAGAAATTTCTATTCCTGACCAATAGTCATAGTCAGTCATTCTGTAGTTTTAGTGATAGCCTGCAGAAGATAGATTCTATTTCATACTTGATTATGAGCATGTTTGTAGGACATAAAATATGGGAAGAAGATAAGATCGCTTTAACAAATGACAAATGGTTTTATTACATTATATTTGCTGGAGAATTTTATCGTCTCCTTCATTGACAGAAAAACAATATAGTTTATTGTTTACGAATGAAAATTTTTCTTTGATGGTTGAAGGCAATTGCTCGGTCTGAAATGTGCTAATTCTTGTGCATCTCCCTTCTCTCTATTTTGCTGTGTGTGCAGTCACAATTTCTAAAGCAGCTATACTTGGGATTGCTCTGGGTGCCCTGATCATTCTTCTTATGATCTTAGTTGCAGCATGCAGGCCACATAAGCCACCATCTTTTATGGAAGGATCAATAGACAAACCAGGTTTTTTTTTTTTTTGGTGTATTTAACATTATTTGTGTTGAAAATGAGGTTTCATATGTTATTTCCACATACTTGATCTATGATTGAAGTTCCATGAAGTTGGTTCAATGCAGAAATGTCAGATATGTTAGCTTTAGGTCAACTCAAGGTTATCTGCTTTGAATCTCTAATTTGTAGATGACCTTCTTACCTGTGATAAATCCTCTAATTGGAAGTCCTTCTTTCCCTTTGCTCTTGTGTGCTTGTGAAGAACAGTTAATTATACATCACCAAAGCTCGTGATCTTGCACATGAACATGGCACTTCATGTGTATGAAGACATTATGAGGATGACTGAGAACTTGAGCGAAAAGTATATAATCGGTTATGGTGCATCAAGTACAGTGTATAAATGTGTTCTTAAGAATTGCAGGCCTGTGGCTATTAAGAAGCTGTACTCTCACTACCCCAATGCCTAAAGGAATTTGAGACAGAGCTTGAGACAGTCGGTAGCATCAAGCATCGTAACCTTGTCAGCCTCCAAGGATATTCTCTCTCCCCATCAGGGAATCTTCTCTTTTATGACTACATGGAAAATGGTAGCCTCTGGGATCTCCTTCATGGTGAGTGTTCCTAGATGTTTATGATATCAAACTCGTTTGTTATGCACATCGCGAACAATACAAGGAAATTGTATTTTTTTTTTTAATTGCTCTTGATTTTATCTCCACACACCATGAAGTAGGAGCCTATTTAGCTTTGCAAAAGCTAAGAAATGAATAAGGTGGAACAAGTGAGAGCGTCTCATGTGAACTGACTAATGTCCTTTTTTCTATGACAGATAATATTATCACCATAGAAGACGTTATGAAAAGTAGCTATAACAACTCAATCTTTGAATTTTCTGACACATCAATCCTTTGTGGTCCTTTAGCCTTGTACTGCAGAGATTTGAACTTAACAACTACTACTGATTTTCATAATCAAACTTACCTTTTTGAATGAATAGTAGCTCGGTGCCTTGTGATTAACTTTGTTACATGCATGATGCATGGCAATATGTTCTGGCTTCCTACATCATTCTTACATAATGTGTGCCTTTTAGGTCCTACAAAAAGGAAAAAGCTTGAGTGGGACACCCGTCTTTGTATAGCACTGGGAACAGCCCAAGGGCTTGCATATCTTCATCACGATTGCAGCCCCCGCATTATCCATAGGGATGTCAAGTCATCAAACATTCTATTGGACAAAGATTTTGAGGCCCACCTCACTGACTTTGGCATTGCAAAGAGTTTATGCATATCAAAGTCTCATACTTCTACCTTCATAATGGGTACCATTGGTTATATAGATCCTGAGTATGCCCGTACTTCCCGGCTCACTGAAAAGTCTGATGTCTACAGCTATGGGATTGTTCTACTCGAATTGCTGACCGGAAGAAAAGCAGTCGATAATGAATGCAACCTCCATCATCTGGTTAGTCCTCTAGCCTTTTACAAACACCAATTTATTATGGATAAGCAAAAGAAAGGAAGTCAATTCTATCTGAAAAATATTATTGTTACTGCAATAGATAAGAACATGAGTAAGATAATTATCTGATGTATTTAATTATCTTATTTCCTTACTGGTCATGTTTATGTTTTGTCTAGGAACTTCTAAATTGCATCTATAAATTTGAATTTAAATTACTTGTTGAAAATAGATGTTGTATGTGCTTGAAATTGTATCAATTCCACAGCTTCATTGTGTCTCCTGGTTTAGTTGTGTGCTTTTGTAGGTGACCTATTTTCATGTATAGCCCACTTAATGCTTCGTTAGCCACAAAGCATTGTAGATTTTGGTTCTGATGCTTTTAAATAGTACAGTTGAGAATTTCAAAATGGACCTAAAATGATGAGAGACTAGAAACTTCTTGAATACTAAAGAAATGGGATTTTAGAGGATCAATCCTGAATATCTTGAACTTGAAGCTAGAAGTTTAATTTTCTGAATTTTAGTACAATTTGAATTATGCTAGGTGGCTGGTTTGCAAAGCTGATATTTTGCTCACTTATAAACTTCTCAAGATGTTTAATAATTGTAGTAAACTTTTTGCAGGGAGAGATGCCTGCCTGTAGTGGGTTATTTTACGAGCTCAATAGCAGCATTTACTTGCCTTGTCATAGAATTCCTACTTCAATTTTATGAACTGTTTGGACTGAATGTAATTTGGTGTTTTAGATAATGCTATTTCATCTCATGATATTCCTCTATCTGTAACAGATCTTGTCCAAGACAGCAAACAACACGGTTATGGAAGCTGTTGATCCTGAAATCTCTGCCACATGTAAGGACCTTGGAGAAGTAAAGAAGGTTTTCCAGCTTGCTCTCCTATGCACCAAGAGGCAGCCATCAGAGCGGCCAACTATGCATGAAGTTACACGTGTCCTCGGAAGCCTTGTGCCGTCCCCATTCCTAAACAATCAATCCCAGTCCCTCCTTCACCACTCCTATCCGCTAAAGTCCCCTCCTATATGGATGAGTATGCAAATCTCAAGACTCCCCATTTGGTGAACTGCTCCTCCATGAGCACCTCAGATGCTCAACTCTTCCTTAAATTTGGAGAGGTAATATCTCAGAACAGTGAGTAAATGTGGTTTTGAAGTCTCAGAATGTGAAAAGAAAAAAACATCTCAATATTGTGTGGGGGAAATATCAAGATTTGGAAATTGTGTATAAAGATCTAGTACCAATTATTGTAACCAGGAAGGTGAAAAAGGTGGACAGGCTTTTACTAACAAAATTTCAAGTGTAGTATCCAATTCATGTGACTCTTCTGTACTGTGTATTAAATTATGGTAATAGTCCTGGCATCTGGTTTTGGGACCACTAGTTCTGCATCTGGCATGGCTGCCTGGTAGCTTTGGGGCTCACACTCTGAGGCAAGTGCAGCAAATCATTTTTCCAGCAATAATGCATCGTGGAGCCTAGCTCAGCCATATCAGTACTCTTGTTTGAATGGTTGATTTACCATGGAAAACTGCATTTGTTAAACACATGCTGTTCTAAAGGCTGATGCACCTTGCAGTAAAAGAGCAACTTTATTTGGTATGACACATGATATACTGTAGATAGGGGTGTTAATTGAACTGAGTTTTGTGAGTTTGAGCTTAAGTTAGTCGAGTTTATTTTTTTAGACTAGTTTAAAAAATCATTTTAGTTCAGCTCATGTAAAAAACGTAAAAAAATGAGCAGAGTTTAAATAGTTTAATTATTTTACATAGAAATGAGCTTTTTAGGTTTGTTTTTTTAAATGTATTTTAAAAATTATTCAAGTTCAACTCGTTTAAAATACGAGTTGAGTTTGAATTGTATTTTATTTGAGTTGACCTAGAGTAGCTCGTCTCAATTAATATTCTTAGTTGTACATGTGTAATCTCGGGAGTGAGATTTTTTTTAATTTTTTTCTTTTGTTTTTTGGTAAGTTAAGATAAAAATTAAAAGAAAAGGTATTAGTAGCATTGCGGAGCGCAGGAGTCAGTAGTGCTATATCATTAACTAGCCAATGAAGACCATGATAATCGAAGGATTCGGAGAAGATAAGCTGCCGTAGCCTAATCTTTATGTCAGAATAGCTGAAAGTTGGTATCCTATGCTATCCTTGCTAGTACGCAATTTGGGAAAAGGCTCCAACTCCTGTAGCCATTTGCTCTTTTGCTGCCTTGGCATGTATGGCCCTGCTAGAAATAGTTGACACGGTGGAAATTTTTTTTTCCTGAAGGACTCTTTCTTGACTCACTGTAGCTCTAATACCAAGAAGTCCTTGAGAGGAATCTGTCTCACTGTGAGTGGTAGCGAGCCATTGTATTCAACATTTATAGCGAAAAGTACAAAATACATGTGACCCATTTGATGGGTATGTACATAATAACAAGAAATAGATTATGACAAGAAAATGTGATCAAGAGTTATCACGATGTTTGGATTTATCTTAAAAGCCATAGTGGTAGAAGTTTAAATCGGTGCTCTCAACAAGGGCGGAGCCACCTTATGCCTGGGGCCACATGCCCACTCTCAAATTTTTTTTTTTTAAATTACTTATATATATTTTAAGTATTTTTTTAATATATTAAATTGTGCCCATCATATTTTTGATCAAGACCGGAAAATACATGATATATCCATGAGTTTACTTATAATTTTAACATTTTTTTAGTAATTATCACTGACATAATAGATAATGTATTTTATTGTGTAATCGAATGAATGATAAATAACTAAGTAATAATGTGATTATGGATATAAATAATAATAAAGTTAATGCAAGACTTTCAACGTATAACAATTCATTGAAATCAATTCTAAATAGTTTTGATTAGCCTTTGTTTGGTAAAAAGATATAATTAGCCTCTCTTTTTTTATTGTGACTTATTTGTATCTACTATGCTTAGCTATTTTAGTCTTTTAAGTTCAATGAACTTTTAAAATTAAATAGGATATAATTAAATATAAATGCATTATTCTATTTATATCAATAAAAAAAAACTAAACTTGTTAAAATATACAGTGCCCACCCTAAAACAATTTTATGGTTCCGCCTTTGGCTATCAATGTCATAATAAAACCAATAACTGACTTATAGAATTCATACAAGACTTACCTTGAGGCATGTCTTGTATTTTGATAATGATTACTTTCATGATCTAAGTTGCTTTCTTGATCTTGGTTCTTTTGACTAACACCTTGTTTAGTGTAGTGTCTAACTTTCTATGTCAAAAGTTTTCTATGTGATAATATAGTAGAATAGTATATATGTGTGCCTTTGTATTTTCTTTCGTCACTCAACCTTATGTTTTGCCAAGTGATGGTATGCCAAAGCCATTGTTCAAGGTGATGAGCGAAAAAAGGAGACTCTTGAAGCCCTTTATGTAGCTTCATGATTACCTTCCATCAAGGAATTCTATTTATTATTTTACTTCATATCTTCCCCCAATGAACCATGATAATTAGATTCCTAGTGTTGTATCCTTTGAACTAGACATTGAATTTGAGAAGCCAATGAAACTTTGACGATAAATCAAGTCATTCATGTATGTAAATATAGGATATGTACATAGAGTAAATAAGGAATACTAGAGTGCATATACGAAATCAAAAGGTCACCTCTAAAGTTCACAAGGGATACAAAGACTAAGTACATTATGAACATGCATGTTCATGAACCAAGGGAATGTTTAAGAGAAATTGTGTTCATAGAAAAAGGATACTAATATGGCCAATAAAACCACTTATCATTTCTAACATTTTCCCACTTGGCCGAAAGACCACATGATTGCAAACCCTTTTCGGATACAACACAATGGTACCAATACATGTTCTAATTATTTTGTCGTTATGGTTTTTATTTTATAAGTTAATTAAATAACTTACTGATGCAGATCATGGCCGTTATTCACCATTAATCTGACATACTCCCTTCCATGCACCACAATCATTAACAACTTAATCAATCAAGTCTTAAAGAGGAAAATTCTAGTGTTTTTTTACACCTAGTTTAACTTTAATGCCAATTAATCATAATCATATTCATATTAATCCAACCATAACTTCGCAAAGTTTTTTTTTGCAGAGTTCGAACGTT